AAATAAGGTAAAGTGGACATTCGCGCGCGCAAGACGAAATCCTTCCAAAAGCTTAGTGTTCGGAGCGATTTTAACATAAAAACATCAAAAAACCAATGGTTTTTCAACAAAAAAATGTCAAAATCTCATCCCGCGCGCTCTTGCGGATTCGTAGGAAACCCAACACTTTTTAAACATTTCTGTCAAACGGGCTTTTGCGAGCAACTTTTTCGAACTTCTGCGACAACGGTTGCGCACCTGCCAGGGCCATCATCCCTGTCAAATAATACCATGCGGGACACATTCGTTTTTTCTTCGCGCGCGCACGCCGTCGTCGTCGGCCGCGGGGCCCTGAATAGTAGCCACGGTCGTCCGCATGCCACGAAGTGAAGTGTCCGAACGTCATAGGGCGGGAAGCTGGGTGTGGGTGGTGGCGAAGAGTCGTATGGAAATTTGGTAGAGCTTGAACCGGCCCCCCCACAAAGTGGGGGTATTGCCCGCCTCCTATGAAAACCCTGGCACTGGTGAGAACGGAGTGTCCCCAGTCTTAAATGATTGTTGTTGTTGTTGTTGTTGTTGTTGTTGTTGTTTTTTGTGTGGCTTCCTCGCAATTTATTCGGGCGCCGCGCCATCGACACTCAGGAATCACGCTATCGCTGTGGACTTCTTACGAGTTACTTGGGAATCGCGATAGCGCTCGAGATTTCCCCGCCATTCATGCAGAACGCACGCTTCAGCATCCCGCCTGCTCGACCTGACCGCCTGGGCCCGCCTTCCCGACCCGCCGGCTAGGGTCTGCCCACATGATCTGCCCGTCTGGTTCTGCCACATTTTTTGCTCCTAGCCCCACTCCTGAGAGTTCCGTGCTTCATTCGTCTCTCCCTCCCTTCCATGCGTCACCTCTTCCCCTGCTTCAGGGGCTGCACCAAGTACACGCGGCAGTGAAGGGCTAGACGAAGAGGGCGGGCATCGAGGGTTTGGGATTTTTGTGTTGAATTGCATGCGGGCAGATAAGAGCGAACAGTCTCAAATGTATGTTTGTTGTTGTTGTTGTTGCTGTTGCTGTTGTGGTTGTTGTTTTTACTGCTGCTGTTGCTATTTTTGTTGCTGTTGTGGTTGTTGTGGTTGTTGTGGTTGTTGTGATTGTTGGTGTTGTTGTGGTTAATGTCATTGTTGTCGTTGTTGCTGCTGCTGTTGTTGTTGCTATTGTTGTTGTGGTCGTTGTTGTGGTTGCTGTTGGTGTTGTTGCTGCTGCTACTGCTCTTGTTGTTGGTGGTGATGATGAGGATGATGATGGTGACGATGATGATGCTGATGATGATGTGCTGATGATGTTGATGACGAGAATGCCGATGACAATGATGCTGGAGCTGATACTGTTGCTGCTGCCGATGCTGATGAATGATGATGATGCTGCTGCTGATGATGTTGTTGTTGATGATTATTGCGATGATGCTGCTGATTATGATGATGAGGATGATGATGCTGATTATGACGATGCTGATGATGCTGAGGATTTTGATTATGATTCTGATGATGCTGATGATGGTGAGTATGATGATGATGCTGATGATGATGATGATGATGATGATGATGATGATGATAATGATGGTGATGATGATGATGATGATGATGATGATGATGCTGATGCTGATGCTGATGCTGATGATGCTGATGATGCTGATGCTGATGATGCTGATGATGCTGATGATGCTGATGATGATGATGACGATGCTGATGATGCTGATGATGCTGCTGATGCTGATGATGATACTGGCGTCGTCGTCGTCTTTGTCGTGATGTTGATGAGGATGACGATGATGATGACGATACTGATTATGCTGATTATGATGATGATGCTGATGATGATGATGATGATGCTGATGCTGCTGCTGATGCTGCTGCTGATGATGATGATGACGATGAGGATGCTGATGACGATGAGGATGCTGCTGCTAATGCTGCTGATGATGCTGATGATGCTGCTGCTGATGATGATGATGATGCTGTTGCTGCTGCAGATGCTGATGCTGATGCTGCTGCTGCTGATGAGGATGATGATGCTGATGCTGATGCTGATGCTGATGCTGATGCTGCTGCTGCTGCTGCTGCTGATGATGATATGATGATGTGATGATGATGATGATGATGATGATGATGATGATGATGATGATGACGACGATGATGATGATGATGATGATGATGATGATGATGATGATGATGATGATGATGATGATGATGATGATGATGATGATGATGATGATGATGATGATGATGATGATGATGATGATGATGATGATGATGATGGTGATGGTGATGGTGATTGTGATGGTGGTGATGATGAGGAGGAGGAAGAGGAGGAGGAGAGGAGGAGGAGGAGGGAGGAGGAGGAGAAAGAAGAAGAGGAGGAGGAGGAGGAGGAGGAGGAGGAGGAGGAGGAGGAGGAAGAAGAAGAAGAGAGGAGGAGGAGGAGGAGGAGGAGGAGGAGGAGGAGGTGGAGGAGGAGGAGGAGGAGGAGGAGGAGGGGGAACTGGGAGGGGGAGCCAGGAGCCGGGAGGGGGAGGGGAGGGGAGGGGAGGGGAGGGAGGGAGGGAGGTAGGGGAGGATGAGGGGTTCCTCAACACAAAGCGCGCGTAGACCATCCGGACTGTGTGGGCTGGGATGCTTAGGTGTGCGCGCGCTCTGCCCAGATCCCAGCCCCCCCTCAGCACTCTCACCGTCTGCGCCTGAAGAGACCTTTTTTTCCTCGCCTCTGCCCCCACGTGCCCTCTTCACAAGGGAGGGGCGTCATGCGCCGCATCCGCGCGGGTCTCGCCCCGCGACCGGCTGGCGGGGTCTCGCCCCGCGGCGGGGCTGGCGCCCCGCCGCGTGACGGGGCGCCGCGCGCGCGCAGGGGCGGAGGCCGCGCGCGGGGGGACGGCGCAGCTGCGTCGCATCTGCCCGGGGGGGTTCGCTCCACGCCTGGCGGGGAGGCGTCGCTCCGCGGCGGGGGCGGCGCGGCTGCGCGCGCGCGCGGGCGGGCGGGAGTCTCGCGCGGTGGAGCTGCGTCGCACCTCGGCGGGGGTCTCGTGCCGTGATGGGCGGCGCCTGGAGGCCCAGGGGGGGGGGGTCCGCCGCGACGGGCGCACCATCCGCGGGGTAGCTCCAAAGAGATGCGGGATTCTGTAGGAAGTTCAGGGGACGTCTGCGGAGCTCTCTGGAACTCCCGAGGAATTCTTGACGCTTCGCTTGCTTCCACCAGCCCATCGAGAGACGATGCCCAGGGGAGTAATCTGGAGGCTGGAGGAGGGGCGTAGGTAAGCATATAGTTAAGCAGCGAGACCAACAATGGTGAACTTAGAGGCCTGTTGTGGTGCTTTTGGTGCGCTCTTGGGCGCTCTTCGGCCTGTCTTGGGCCCCTCTTTGGCCCCTCTCGGGGCTCTCTTGGGCCATCTTGTAACCGTCTGGAGGCCTCAGAAGCCAATCAGAAGCAAAGAGGCGAGAAGGCAGACCAAATTGTTTATCTGTAGGTTCTGGAAGGATTTTGGCCTCTCGAAGGGGTTTTTGGATGGTTCCGTGGCCCCTTGGAGCCGTCTTTGGGCGGTCTTGGGGCCCATTGAGGCATGCTGGAAGCTATCTTCAGCCATACTGGACTATCTCGTGCGATCTTGGAGGCCATCTCGGGCTATGTGGGGCCCTCTGAGGGCCATCTTGGGCCAACTTGGACGCCCTACCCCCTCGCCGCGCCCCCCTCCAGACCCAGGGAGGTACGGGGAACGGTGAACCTCTCTCCAAAGGTGAAGACTGAATTTGGAAGAAGTAGCTCCCTAAACCACCTATGCCACCGATAGGATTCTGTATGTTATCTTCAGGTTTCAAGGGAAATCCAGAGGATGAGGATTTTCTACGGGTTCCAGTGGAATTCTTGCAGATTTCATCAGATTTGCTTTCCTCAGAGGATCTCCATGGGGTTTCCGAGACGATCCTTGGTATTGTTTTTTTGAGCTCCTGAGGACATCTGAGGAAGGCAGGAGGATTTTGGAGGAAATCCGCAGGATTGCCGAGGAAGCTCATGGACTGCGTGAGGAAATCCTTGGGATTCCTCTGGGCACGACTATGTCGTGAGGAGGTCCTCTGGGCTCCAGATGACATCCCCAAGGCAGGGTCAGGCTTGCGGAGGAAGAAGGCATGAACTCCTCCCGCCCCCTGCGGGTTCCCAGGGGGCCCCAGGAGCAGGGATCCCAAGCCTTGGGTCGGGCCTGTCCCCCCATACAGGTGGATCTTGGACGAAATAAGACATATTCAAACATGCCCAGAAAAGATGCCCAAACATACTCAAAAAATCGTCCCGAGAGTATTCTATACCTGTTCTTGAGTATGCCCCCTGTACACCTTTGGCGATGTTTAAGAAAACTTAAATTTTCGACCAGAGTCTCGATTATTCTGAATTTTTCAATGTAAATCCTAAGATTTGAATGGAATGTTTGGGTTTTTTATTCAAGTTCTGAGACTATGAATTTCTTAACCCATGATTTCTTAAGCATTTCGCAGGGTGTAGAGGGACGGGCCCGACTTAACCCAAGCCGGGGGGGCGCGTCCGCTCTGCGGCGGGATGGCAGGCCGGGGGGGCGCCAGAGCCTTCTGGCTGCTCTTCCACCTGCGGAGCCTCCGTGGGAGCCCCGCCGTGGCCCTCTCGGAGGCCTGGGCAGGGAGGCGGTCTGCTCCGTGCGGTGCACAGCCCGAAGTGCGTCGCTCGGAGGCGGGCGGGAGTCGCCTCGCCCGTGCCGTCGTCCGTCGGTTGCTCCGCGGAGCGCTCCGACTGGCGGTCGCTCGCTGCTGACGTCAGTCGGGTGAGGTGCTTGCTCCAGGCAGAGTGGGGAGGAAGGGCGGAAGGGCGGGAGCGCCGGGGTTGCAGGGCAGGGATACTTGGGCTCTTTCCTCCTCCTCTCTGCTCCTTGCTCCATCCGTCCTTCTTCCTCCCGTCCCCCCTTCGGGGGAACACGGGGGAGGATGCATCGCTGACTGACCCCCGGCGGCAGCAGGTCTCGCAGGAGTGGGAGGCGGCCGAGGCGGGCCTCCTGCAGGCGGTGGGGGAGGGGGGGCGGCCGACTCTCCGCGTGGGCGGTTGGTGCCAGTCTGCAGTTCGCGGCCGCCGCGCGACTGGGGAACGTCTGCGCGGCTGGATGCTGCTTCCTCTCGAGTGAAGCGCAGGAGGAGGAGGAGGAGGAGGAGGAGGAGGAGGAGGAGGAGGAGGAGGAGGAGGAGGAGGAGGAGGAGGAGGAGGAGGAGGAGGAGGAGGAGGACCAGTGTAAACCCTAGAGTCATCAACGATGTTGGAATAAACCCTCCCTCCAAGCTCCCTCTTCATAGGCTCCTACAGCGGTCATTTTCACTTGGAGCTGCCCCGTTGGAAGATAACTGTTTGAAGACGCTGAAGAATGCTCGAATTTTATGCTCGGAATTCCAACGCAACGGATCAACCTGACTGTTGCGTCTTGACGATCCTGGATCGTGCCAGAACACCACTTCTGCGTCTTCAACACCGCGGATCAAAGTAAGTGTTGCACCCTCATACTCTTGAATCCTTCCAACACGCTAGTTCTGGTACGCTGATACTGGGAATCCGTGACATTCTTGCAAATTCAGAAAACGAGCAAATCGAATGCGCGACGCTACGGCGAGAGCCACACTTTGAAAAGGAACCGCCCTCAATCCGTGAAACTCTTTCCTTTCAAATTTTCACAACGAATGTACGTGGCGCTACGGCGAGAGCCACATTCTGTAAACAGACTGCCCTCAATCCATGAAGCTCTGGCAACGTTTGAACGAATATACGCGGCGATGAGGCGAGAGCTACATTTTGAAATCAACCCGCCCTCAACCCGTGCAATTGTTTAAAACGAACGTGCGCGGCGCGAAGGCGAGAGCCACATTTTGAAAACCACCCGCCCTCCATCTGTGAAACCATTGCCAGTTTTGAAGCTTCAGGGTCATACATGGTGAGGAAGTCTCAGGCGGAACGCCCTGCACGCCCTAAAAACCAGCATCGGGGTGCGACAGGGATAAATTTATAAGGAAAAGGAATGGATGAGGATGAGGATGAGGATGAGGATGAGGATGAGGATGAGGATGAGGATGAGGATGAGGATGAGGATGAGGATGATGATGATGATGATGATGATGATGATGATGATGATGATGATGATGATGATGATGATGATGATGATGATGAGATGAGGAGGAGGAGGAGGAGGAGGAGGAGGAGGAGGAGGAGGAGGAGGAGGAGGAGGAGGAGGAGGAGGAGGAGGAGGAGGAGGGTGAGGAGGAGGAGGAGGAGCAAGAGGAGGAGGAGCAGGATGAGGAGGAGGAGGAGGAGTAGTAGGAGGAGGAGGAGGAGGAGGAGGAAGCAGGACCAGGAGTAGGAGGAGTAGGAGGAGGAAGAGGAGGAGGAGGAGGAGGACGAGGAGGAGGAGCGTTCCGTAGCCATCTTGGCTCAAGTAAGCCCTTCCACAGGCAGCTGGCCAGGCCAGCAGATTTTTGGACCCACATGCAGCCGCCCGGATAGGGTGACCCCCTTTCCATGTGCTTCACTAGCTGCTATATCTCGTGTGGGTGTCTGCGAATCAAGATTATCAGGATGACGCGACGCCTGCCCCAATGAGGTGGTTTGAGAGTCAATCGGAAGGAGCGCCTCCACCGACGAAGCAGATGCGAGCGAGTTCAACGCGGGCTGGGTCTGGCTTGCCTGGCGTCACGTCTGCTCATGGTCTTCCCGCTGGTGCTGCTCTTTCTGCTCCTGCCCCCCTGGGAGGAGGCTGCTCAGAACTACGTCGATAGGTCCAAGAACGACGTCATGGCTGCCATCCAATGTATGCGAGCCCAGCTTTGCAGCGTCACGTTCACGCAGCATTTCAAGACCTTCGACCTCTCCATCGAGCGCCGCTTCACAGAAGTCATGCGCATGATCGACGACCAGGATGATAAGTTCAACGCGCCCGAGAAGGAAGTGGAGAACCTCAAGCAACTGCTCGGAGTCATTAAGAAAGAGGGGCCCAAGGCCGTCACTTTGGGTTTTGGATACGACAGGAATGTTGGCGAGACGATCCTCGTGCTCCGCTCTCGCGACCTCGTGCCCAAGGCGGCGATGCGACGTGGTGCAAGAACCCACTCATGGTGGAGCGTTAGACGGGCATTCAGCTCACCAGGCGCGCCGCCGAGGAGTTGTCTCCGAACGAAAATTCGCCATCGACAGCGAGAAAGGATTGCTCGTGCTCAACTGGAAGGTCCTGGCTAAGGACACTACAGCCAGTGACCGCCCCGCAGAATATCGAGTTCACAGTCGCCAATTTGCGCGCCGCCAACTTGGATAAAGGCCAGTTGCAGCGCAAGTTTCAGCCCTTCTTCGCCGCTGCCGCGGCGGACCAAGAGTGGGGCCTTAGCATTTTCTTTCCTAGATGGCAGGGGTCGTGCTCGAAGCACAGCTTGTTCGGCCTGGTGTCCTGGAGCTCCCGCTCTCTCTTCCGCCGCGGCCCCCCCCCAGGCCAGGAAGTGCCAGTGCCTAATTCGCCTCTCTCGTCGCCTGTTCCAACATCGTCGCGATCCAGGGTCCAGGGGGACATCCTGCATCCTGCCAGGAAGGGCAACAATTATTACTGCTCTTCTGCTGACGTGGCCACTGGGGGGTGGTTACGTTTGGGTCTAAATTCTTTGGAATGACAGGTGAGTCTCGGGATTCTAGTCCTACTATCGTCCTAGCTACCCTTGTGAGTACGAACGTCATTCACATCAAAAGTACCGTCCCTTGGGAGCGACAGGTGGATCTCACGTGGCAGAATCCACAGTTTCGGGCCTTTTTCGAGGTCGAAAGCAGCTTGTGATCCGCTCTATCCGAGGGGACTTGCAGGTTTCTCTGAATGCGATGCATCAGAATATCGTCGCGGTCATGAGACATTAAAATTGTCTGCCACCCCGCCTCGGCCCGCGATCGCGGCCGAGGCTGTCGAGGTCCTGCGCCGGGCTGCCAAAGACTGGCGGGCTACCCAGGACCAGGCATCGAACGCGTTGTTTCTCGGCGGTGACTGAATTTGACCTTCCGACTCTACTCGTATCAATGCCTATAGCAAGATTGCGACTATCTTGGACCATAAGTCCTTCTTTATTCCTGGGTGGGCATTGATTCAGAAGCACGCTGCCGGTACAGCAGCGCGCCCTTGGTCCGATCCCTGAGGTCACAGGTCGTCCACATCCAGCTTTGACTGCCTCTTGAACATTGGGGAGGTCGTTAGGGGGTCTACGGGCGCCCCGCTCTCTGTGGGCCACTGTGTGTCTGTACTTAGGAATCTGTGGTCGGGGCGCGTGAGGGGCCCGTGCGGCTGCCACCCTCGTTTTTCGCTTGAAAGAGGGGGCAGTGGCCAGAGCGGACGCCATTGCCATCGCGGCCTATGCGCCACCTGCTCGCCCTTGGAAACCTGTCCACAGTGGCACTAGGAAGGAAGGAGGGGAGGTGTGAGACGCCGTGCCGTCAGCCGCGCATGTCTTCCCAATTTGCCTCGCTCGACAATTTCTCGCTGGCCCCTCCCGCTCCAGCTGAAGATCTAAAAGTGCACGGCGCGCGAAGACGTGAAGTTTGCGCGGCGGGTTTCCGCGCCAGCCCAAACTCCAACCTCGCGAAGCTGATTCGCCTGAGGGCGCGTGCAGGAGTGGCGTCGCGACGGGGTTTCAAGCTTGCTTGCGCGTTGGTCCAGGCCCGCCCTCTTACTGCGGCGCGCCTCGAGCTAGACTAAGGATCGAAAGTCGTGCGAATGTGGTTCCCCGCGGGCATTTCTCGGCGGCCATTGAACGGGCCCGGGCCCGCGACTTCGAGGAGGAGAAGCGACTTGGCAAGCTTGCCCTCGATGGCGCAACCGACGAGGGCCATGATGGAAAGTGGGCGGTGGGGGCGAAACGAGTGCTCGAGCGAGATCAAATGTGGCTTCTTCGACTCGCGAGTGCATTTGCGCGCGTCGGTAACCGGTGGAACCGATCGTGCCGATCCTGCATATACATTTATACATAAATAGACATATGTAGATTTAGATGCACATATATATATATATATAGATATGTGTATATGTATGTATATATACATATATATGTATACATATATATATATATATATATATATATATATATATATATACTGGGCTATCTCTGAACACCGGGGCGAGGTTTTTGCGGCCGAGCCGATTGGCGAGCGCGGGGCCGACCGATGCTTCGAGCGCGTCGCCGCGCGCTTCGACCTCGACGACCTCCCGGCACCGGCGCGCGAACAGCGGCGCTGCGTGTCGCGACGGCCCGATGGCGCCGCAGGTCCAAATGCGTTGCCTCGCGCCATGGCAGCGCCTCCGCAGGCTCTGGACATCTTGTGGAAGGTGCTTGGGTTCGTCCTCGAGGACGCCGAGGACGGGTGGCTTCCTTCTGGTTTCAGCGTCGCGCTGGGCAACTCTCTGCTCGAGGGGGGCGACCTGGGCGACCGACTCGGCGCTGCCCGAACCCCCGGCTGTGTCCGACCCCTGGGCCTCGAGAGTATGGGCAACACATTGCTGTTGGGCGTGGGGTTTCATTTTTGCTAGGAGATGGGCTCCGTTGGCCTGCCCTATCCAATGGGGGCTTGTGCGTGGGCGCCAGAGCTTCGCGACGCTGTCATCGAACTCGACGTTGCCGCCACACTGTGTTCAATGTCTGCCTCAGCCCAGTCCGACCCACCCCCGCTCGTGTCTTTTGAGTTCCGGCGGGCCTTTTCCCCCCTGGCCCACTCCTGGCTCCTGGGGGCCCTCCAAGCTATCTCGCTACCCCTTGGCTTTTATTTCTGGTATCTGGGTCGTAGGTATGTCGGCGTCCTCTACTTTGGGCGCCGCCAGCGCGTGCTGCTTTTTCTCTATCTCTTCTCTCTCTACATTGGCGGGCGTGGTTGTGGGCTGCCTTCCACTTGTTGTGTATATGCTGTCGCTACGGAGGTGCCGGGGCGAGGTGCGGCGCGGGCGTGTGAGGGCGGCAGCCCTGGCCGAAGTCAAGGATTCGAAGCGCCCTGCCACGATCTTCCGTGGCCGCGAAGGTCGCCTGCCCGAGTTAGGCCCAGCAAGTGCGAGATCACGTCTCGCTTGCGAGTTCTGCGCCGCCATCCGCCAGCTGTGCGTGGGCCGACGCAGGGCCCTGCTGCCAGACTGGAAGGGCTTTGAAGTGGTTCCAGAGTTAGAGGCATCGCGTAACTCCACCAGCCCATCCCGAGACGAGGCCTAGAGGAGTTGCCTCGATCAGGGAAGTGGGCAGCGCGCAGAGAAAGGGTCCGGGGTCCCTCTTAGAGCGCTCTTGGGGCACTCTTGGGCGCTCGTGTGGCCGCATGGGGGCTCTCTTGGGCCCCTCTTGCGTCCTGGGGGCCTCTTGGCGGTCCCGGGGCCCTTGGGGCGTCTCGGGTGCCTCGGGGGGACTCCTGGGGCCTCCAGTGGGTGTCTTGGGAGCCTCTTGAAGGCTTCTTGGGGCTCCTCGGCGCCTTGGGGCCCTCCTGAGTGGCTCTCGGGGCTTTCGCGGCGCTCTTGGGGCCATCTTGGAGGACATCCAGCAAACGAGAGGGGGGCTTTAGTTGGCGTTGCCCCTCGGGAGCCCCGAAAGTCGCCTAGGGCGCTCTCGTGGCGCTCCTGGAGCGCTCTCGGGGCCGTCTCGGGGCTTTCCTGTGCTCCTATCTGAGCCCTCTCGGACCATCTTGGAGACATCTTGAGGCCTCGGATGGCCCTCGGAAGCGAAACGTCGAGATAGCCAAACCATTGTGTCTTTTGGTTTTGGAAATGTTTTGGCTTCTTCGGGGCCTCCTCGGAGAGCTGTCTGGCCATTTGGAGCCGTCTTGGAAGGGCCTTGGGGCCTGCTGGAGCATCTTGGGGGCCATCCTGAGGCATCTTGGGGTCTATTGGGCCATCTTGGAGCTCGTCCTGGGCTCCTAGCGCTCATGGAGCCATCTTGGGCCATCTTGGAAGCTCAGACCCTTCGCGGGCCCCCCCGCCCACGTCCGAGGTGGGGGTGGGGGTGGGGGGCGGGGTCGAGGCGCCCCTAGATTGCAAGTCGTCTAGCTCACTCCCGCCCGCCCTCCAAGCGCATAAGTGACGCCCGAGCCTGGGCGCGTTCAGCGGTCGTCTTCCGACGGGCAGCTATCGGGGGACAAATCCGACCCCGTGTGTGCGACGCTGGGGCGAGGTGCGCCACGCGTGCTGGGCGCGCCGCGCGCGCCCGGCGCCGCTGGGGCCCGAGCGTGCCAGGCGCGCCTGGTGCGCCAGATGCGCCGCGTGCTCCGCGTTCGCCAGGTGCGCCGCGTACTCCAGCCGTGCCAGGAGCGCCGCGTTCGGGGCGCGTGCAGAGTGCGTCAGGTGCCCCCGCGCACGTGGCAGCGCGCGTCGGGCAACGTGTCGGCCCCACCGCCCACGTTGAAGACCAATGCCCGTTGTGTCTGGTGGGCCTGCGCGCAGCAGGTTGCGCGCCGCCGCTTGGCAGTGATCGCGGCGCGGCCGCGCGTGGTCCAGATTTAGACGCGAGGTGTATTATTAAATTGTTTCTGTCAGGGGTGGTAGCCCAGCGCGCAGTGGGCGTTATGCTGGCGCCCCCGCGGCCCCCGTAAGAGAAAACAATGCAACTTGCTCGCGGGCCGCGCGATCATGCCAGACTTTGCCCCAAAGTGTAGTTTGTGCATTTTTTTTTGACGGGTGGTTGGGGGGCCGCGTCGGCCTGCCCGCGCGTGCTCCAAATGTGGGTGCAGAGTGTGTTTTGATGTTTTTGGCGGGTGGCGGGTTGGTGCCCCCAGGATGTCCTTATTGTTCCTGGTTGGCTGCCTGTCGCTTTGGGGTGGGGTGGGGGTGGGTGGGGGGGTATGAGTGGGGGGCAGCGGTGAAGCTTTCCCTGATGGACGAGACGGGCGGATGGAAGGCATATCGCCCTCGACCGCCTACGCCCTAAGGGGCCGGTGGGATTCAGTTGCCATGGCCTCTGTATAGGCCCTGGCTGGGGGGATGTTTCTGCCCCCCCCACCTAGCGCGAGGCGCGAGGGCCAGTCTGGGGTGCGTTCTATTCCCGGACTCGCGCCCCCGCGTCAGTGCGGGAGTATTTGTAGACGACGCGAGTCGCCTCTGCG